CCCTTCTAGACTTGGCCTTCCAAGTAGCTGGGATGGTAGACACATTGCGCTGTAACCAGCTCTTTCTGACAGGGTTTTGCTCTGTTGCCCATAATAGCCACAAGCTCGTGACCCTCTTGTCTCAGCTCCCTAAGTTGCTGTGATCACAGGCCAACACTACCAGCCTGGTCTTTAGGGTGGACCAAGAAACAAATGTGGTCCTTGACAGTGAAGCACAGCATCTTAGCAGCTTGCACTGCTGCCGCTGGGCCTCTAGGGTCTTGTTTTTCATTTAGACTGTGATACACAGTAACTTAAATGTCCCATATAAGTGGAATGGTTTAGAAGATCACGGCTCATCTACATGATCGACTACTATCTAGCTGTTTAGAAGGATATCTGCTAAGTGTGGCATGGTATAGCTGGCAAGTTTAATTAGGTACAAATAGGAAATAAAACTTCATATGAAACTAAATAACCTCTCTGAAAAAAAACCTATGCCTATTTACCAAAAAAGAAAGACTCAGAAATAGAGACCATATATATCAGACATCACTTATACAGACATCACTGTTACTATATATATATATAGTAATTTATACTGGTCAATTTTAACTCAATCAACTTAATCAACCTGGGGTGGGAGGGGAGGTGTGTGTGTGTGTGTGTGTGTGTGTATCTCCCGGCTGGTCTGAGAAAGAATATTTATTATAGAGGAATATAAAAGGGAAAGGGGGGCCAGCTGATGGTGTGATGGTGAAGGTGGCTGGACCCCAGTGCTGACTGTGCAGTTTGAGGCCCAGGCCTGGCAGCTGGAGGAGCACCCCAGCCATGTGTGCATCCATGCCCAAAATCCTGAGAAGAGAAATGGAGAAGGAGGGACTGCAACGCGACTATCCTCCCTGGGGGTGCTTCTTACTTTCTCTCTCTCTAGAGAGTGGGTGCATCCTCTGACAAATTAAAGACATTTCTTTTCTCATAACAAAATGCATTATTTATAAAGATATCGATCTCTATCTATATCCCCACTCTCAGAAAGAAACATGTCTCTATAATCAACCTGGTAAGGCCTTTTAGATTTATTTTTTCATGGACTTTTTCTGTTCATATTTTAATTTCCTAAATTTGTATTTTTTTTAAAGTTTAATCATTTCTTTCTTCCATAAGCCAAACAAAACAAAACAAAACAAAACAAAACAAAAAAAACAGAGAGGAAGAGAGAGACAGAGACAGAGAGAGTGCACCACCAACAGAGTCCTGACACTGGCTCAGTCCAGATCACGGGCACCTACATGCCCAGAGGACCCTGATGGGAACCTGGAACCTTCCCAAGTGGATCAGTCTCAAAGAGCAACCCATTTTACTGCCGAGCCATCATCAGGCCCCTATTTTCAGTAAATCTCACGACAAACGTGCTGCTTTTTACAGTAAACGAAGAACTACTTACTCCAGATTTTACTCAAAGTCTCCGAGGGCTTCGTAAACTGAATGATATTACATTCCTTGATGAGTTTACTTATCAGTGTAAGAAAACTAAACAGAAGGCGATCCGCAGCTTTCTCTGCAGTTTCTTCCACGATCTACAAACAGGATGGATGCAAATTAAGACTAATCTGAAAATATCTGATGAACACTTTTATTCTGGCACATAAATCTACACCAGGGTTTCTCAACCTAAGCACTACCGACATTTTGGGGCAGACTTCTGCTGTGGGTTCTCCTGCCCTGGTGGCAACCCTGGTCTCTATAATAATTAGCGCCTCCCTGCACCCAGTTGTGACAACCAAACCTGTCTCTAAACATGGGCAGATGCTCACCACGGGGCAAAACTGCCCCAGTGGAGTCTCCGATCTTCATATACTATGGAAGATGACATACATCTACTATCATTTTTTTCCTTTTAAATTTGCTATAGGGCACGTGTGTTTGCTGGAGACAGAAAGAGGGAAAGTGAGGAAACATTCCCTAAGAGGGATGGCTATGCCACAATCTCTTCTCCACCATCCTTTTCTCAGGATGTTGAGCACACATGCACACAAAATAGGTGTGTTTTTCTTTTCTTTTCTTTCTTTTTTTTTTTTTGAGAGGTTTTTGCTATAGGGCGCATGTGCTCATCAGACAGAGAGAGATAGAGAGACAGAAAGCGAGAAATCACCCCCCGGGGGGATGGTCATGCCGCAATCCCTTCTCCTCCGTTCTCCTCTCAGGATCTTGGGCACGCACGCACATGTGCCTGGCATGAGTTTTAAGTCACTGGGTCCGGGACGTGAACCGCAGTCAACTACATGGGAGTCCAGCGACAGCCATTACGCTAACTGCTGGTCCCTACTGGTGTGTTTTTCAAGCTGCTGGGCCGAACACTTGAACCTCACTATTGGTCACATGGGATACAGTTGCCTTAACCACCACAATTGGCTGGGTCACCCTTTTTACTATTTTTAAAATTTAAGTTCATTTGTTTATTCTGGGAAGGAGGAAGAGAGAGAGAGAGAGAACCCTCAACAGGATCTTGATACCAGATCCACCCCCACTTCAGCCAGCCCTGAATCACGGGCAGACATGCATCTGCTGTACTCAGAGAGCCCAGCCTTATGGAGGATCCTGTTCCCCACTGTGCTATCATCTGTCCTAATGCCCATTTTTAAAGGAAATTACAACTGTACCGACTTGTTTTTAATTAATAAAGAACATTTTTTAGACACAAACAGTAATCTTTCTATTTTTACATAGAAAAATACATCATGACTCTTCTGATGACCCAATTATTAGCTAAGTCACCTCTAATAAAACTATACAAGTTATTAGCAAGAGTTTTATTCCCTAGCAAATTACTTACATCTTTAAAGTTTTCAGGATCAATTTCCTTTTCAATTACAGGAAGAACAGTTCCAAGTCTTCTCTCAAAATCGACTCCTTCACTTTCCACAAATAAGCCACAGACCAGAGCAGCGAGCTGTCTATTTAAGCTCTATCAAAAGTAAACCACCATTGACAGTGTCAACACAACTTCAGAGGCTATTTCCAATATTGTAAAACAAAGGTAGGCATTATTTTCTCGTCAACAATCAGAGATAATAAAAAAAAATTCTTTTCGATGTCAGAAATCAATAAAATATGAAGCTTTGATGGTCAACATAAAAAATATGAAGTAACATTTAAAAAGTGGCAGTTAGGGACCAGCAGATGGTGTAATGGTTACGTTGCTAGACTCCCACATAGTTGACTATGGTTCAAGTCCCAGACCCGGCAGCTTAAAACTCACGCCAGGCGCATGTGCATGCATGCCAAGATCCTAAGAGTAGAATGGAGAAGAAGGGATTGTGGTGTGGCCAACCCCCCCGAAGGTGATTTCTTGCTTTCTGTCTCTTCCAGTCTCTCTGGCAAACACACATGCTCTATAGCAAAAATCTCTCTCTCTAAAAAAAAAAAAAAAGGTGGCATTTATTTTTATTTTTTGGTTGAGGGCATTTAGTAGTGTTCACTATAGTGACAGAGAAAGAGAGGAAAGCACGTCCCCATAGGGTGTGGTCACACTGCACACCTTCTCCATTTCTCCATCCTGTCGGGATTTGGGGCATGCATGTACAAGTGCCTGGCATGTTTTTCAAGCCACTGTGACTTACACTCAAACCATACAGTTAATTATGTGAAATCTGGCCTCCTTAACCACTAAGCCATGGGGCCAGACCAGTAAGTATTCTTTGTTTTTAATTAAAAAAATATTTTTGGATGTGGCACAGATATGCTCTCTGGGGGGAGAGAGCGAGCGTATGTGAGAGAAAGCATACCCTCCTCTCCCTGAGGGGGGAAGGCCATGCTGCAATCCCTTCTCCATTCTCTTGGAATTTGGGGCACACATGCACATACAACTGCCATGTCCAAGACTCAAACCACGCAACACAGTTGGCCATGTGGAATCCAGACGCCTTAACCATCATGCCACTGGCTGGGCCCCCAGTAAGTATTCTTATTTAAAGAACAAACACTAGAAGCTACGGCTAGTCACTTAACTATGACTTAAGTGATACTAACCTTTTTTGCTCCAAACCAGGTAGTAACCATATCAAACAGCCAATCTTTTTTCTCAAGATTGATTTTACTGAGTAAGGATTTGATTGTCATGGAGGCCATCTTTTTGCACACGGCAGAGTCATCGTTCACCATCATTAGACAAAGAGGAAGGAAGAACATTCCGCAGTTCTCATGGAGCAGTCCCTAAAAGAAAAGAGGCATTTTACAGACATTCTCAGAATGGAATTTCTCAGAAGACCTAACAAGGGAGGACCGAGGACTCCCAGGGCCCACGGGGCAACATAGCTATGTGTGTCTTCATCACTCACAGTACCTGAGGGAATGTGTCAAAGAGGTAGGCGATCATTTCCAAGGTGGACTCCCTCCCAGTCTCATGTTCGTAACTAGAGCAAGAACATTAGGTTAGTACTGTTAGTACTTTCTAAATTTACCAATATTTTTAAAATATTCAAACATTGTACTAAGGTTTCTTAAAAATGAGAAAATGTTCCATTTCTCTAATTTTAATGCTTGTATATATCCAAATTATTGTGTAGTCTTAAATGTAATTTTGCTAGATTTTTAACATTCTCCTAAATGGACTTCAATGACAATCAATGGTCAGATCAGCTCGAAAAGCAACTTAATAAAGTCAGTGAGCCATATAATAGCGCCCAGAGGATGTGCCATGATGTTGGGCTTTGTCCGTTTCGAGATGGCAGTCACATTAAAGGGAGAGAAGGCCCCACCCCTCTGCTCCTGTTTAGTTAATAGCGTAAGCTTACTTCAGTTGGGCAAGCATGAATTCCAAGTTTGGTCTCAATTTGTCACCCAATGGATAGTCAAGAATATATTTCAGAAAAACCTAGGAACAAAAGTCACACAGTTAGTTGGGCCCCACTTCTCTAGGATTCCTGCCCAACCTGCTGGCTGGGACACACTGGCAGTTACAGAAGTCTTTCAGAATGATAAGCAATCAGGCTTCCCAACGGACTCTGGCTAAGTCTGCCTATGGCGTCAATGACACTGGGCAGCTTTCTCCCACTTCACTTAATCAGGCTTTTTCCTACGTGCCTGACTGAGTCCAGTCCTGACCCACCGATGTGGTTGCTTAGGGCTCCAAATCTAGGCCTGCACGCTGGATGCTGATCTCTGACAGGTGCTGTGATGACCTGAGTGTCAACTGAGGCTCGACCACACATCGCCTCTCGAATAACATGAGGATGATAACATCAATACAATAATAACTACCGCATTTACTAACTACCCCCACGTGTCAAGCACTATGTTAAATGTTTCTAGGTTAATTCCCATCACTCCCTCAGAAAATAAGTGATATCCCATTTGACAGTCCCAGAGAATGCAGATCCCCCAGAAAGGTTACGGAATGTGCCATATGACACTGCCAGAATCCCGTGTCTAGTCTATCTGTGTCCACAGGCTGTACTTCTAAGCTGCTCCAGTATTCAGCCTCCTTTCTTCTAAACTGCAAAGAACTAATGCATATCATTATACTTTCCAAGTCCTGCTTCCCTCCTAGTGGTAAAATGGGTAATACTATTTCTCTTGAAGGGTAGTTATCAACAGAGGCTATGTATGTCAAATGCTGGGCACACAGTCAAAGAGCAGTTGGTATGCTTCCTGATAACAAACAGTCAAGCACATTTTCCCCCCAAAGACATTTCCTCTCTTCCTCCCTCAGCAACCCAAATGCATGTTCATCCCTGAGTTTGTTTTTCCAAGTCAGTCTCCCCACTTCTTGGGCATAATATGCATTCATAAGATTAGGGATGGAATGCTTCCTAGTAACAGTCAAGCACATTTTTCCCCCCAAAGACATTTCCTCTCTTCCTCCCTCAGCAACCCAAATGCATGTTCATCCCTGAGTTTGTTTTTCCAAGTCAGTCTCCCCACTTCTTGGGCATAATATGCATTCATAAGATTAGGGATGGACAAATGCACAAATACAAAACTAATCAGGTCACTCCTCTGCCGAATGATTTCAACAGCTTCTTACTGTTCTTAGAATAAAGCCCTAGATCTTTAATAAGGCCACAAGGTTCTGTGAGCCCTGGTTCCCTACCCCTACCCTACTCCTCTGCATTTAGTCTCATACACAGCCTAGCTCTTCCCTACCCCAACGCTCACCTTCCTCAGGCATTTACTAGCCTTTCGCCCAAAAGGCTAAAAACCTTTCTCTTCCTTCAAATTTTGGCTTTCCTGTCAATCCTAAGGAAAGCCTTCTCTGACCTACACTAGCATGTCCGAGTCTCAAAATAAAGCAACCATATGATACAGAGTGGTCTTCAGAATTGAGCTGATATCACCATCTCTATCTAAAATCCAGCAGGTAAGGCAGGACCTGACCCTTGCTATGGGAATAAGCTCTCCCTACAAACCTGTCTGCACTGGACCCTTGCAGGTTCGCTTTGTGCAGAAATGGCCAACTTCGAAACTTTCCGCATGACATCATCGATTTCTGGGACCAATAACTTTCTTGATAAAATAGCCTAAAATAAAAGGAAATGACAAACTCATTTTCAGTGCTTTACTGTAGGTGAACATAAACAATTTGTGTTAAGGCAGTTACAGGCAGTTTTCAAACATACTGAAAATATTTTCAATAGAAAGAGAACACACAAGAGCACTTTTAAATGTGTGCGGAAAAATAAAATTAAAGTGTAAGTTTATTTTGGTATGAAAAAATGTGAAGTCCATGCATACTTTTCATAATATGCATTTTTCATAACTTTTGAAGATCTCTCCTACACTTAAAAATAGTTAAAAGATGAATTATGTGTATTTTACCACAAAGAGAAAAAATATAATAAATAAGAGAATTACCTGTATTTGTAAAGAATTCCCTGGAAGTGTTCATAAAGAGTTCATAGTCCAATATTTTCCTAAGTAGCTATGTTATGGTATAACCAACCCATCGAAGACAAAATAATCTTTATACATTAATTCCAGAAGTCTACAGCAAGTCAAAACACTATGTTGCACGTTATTCTAAATATCTGACACGTGGCTCATCAGCTGTAAAAGCCAACATTCTGGTGACACCATACCTTCAGAAGACCAAATGCTGTGGCTTGTCTTGAAGTATCATAAATGTCCTCTTCAGCGTATGCCAGCAGAACTTGCAGCTGTTTCTCAGTTATCTGGTAGGACGTGACTTTCTTTACCAGGATGGTAACACACTGCAAGTTACAACAGCAAAGTTAACAGCCAGCACATCCCACAAATCAGGATCTAGCGGAGCGGGACTTAAGACACCATCAACACGTTTTCACATGGCACACCAATCCTTTACCTAACGTTTGCACATTATTCTGGAAAAATATTTAACCAAGACACAAAACGCACCAAGGAAAACTGACTTCGGTGTTTGCTATTCCTGGCTCTGCCTTTCTCTATGAGCGAATGGAGACAGCTCACCTTGAAACAATTCACCACCAGGTGGAAGTTCTGGCCCTTGGCAGCCCCGAGTTTTGCATAGTCCTTCAGCAAGAGGAAAAGGTGTTTTGTCAACTGTTCCACTTTAGTTTCTATAGAAGGCAGAGGGAACCTCAAGACCCAGATCAGGCACTGTAAAGCACCTGTGATCACCTGAAAAACAAAACAAAACAAAAACCAATCATCGTCTGATGTGACCGAATCTCACAACCCAGCTGTGGGGACTCTCACTGCAAGTGTGCCCAGAGCAGAAGAAGTCAAGGGAGCTTCCCATTCCCTGATGTAACTTATTGCTCATGCACAGAAGGCGAAGGCATATCACAAGCAAATCAGAAAAGGGCTTCCCTTACCATAGTCTTAACCGATATACATAGTGACTGGATGGCTCGGTTGATTTTAGAAAAATTTTTTTTGGAAAAATACATTTTAAATTATTTTTCTATTTTTGGAATGGTACTTCAATATAACCCGTTCTTACTAAGCTTGTTTTATGTATACAAGACACTCTACTGGGTATTATGAGTACAAAGATAAAGACACCATTTTGGGGGCTGGCAGGTGTTGTAGTGGCTGGGGCAACCTAGACTCCCACATGGCCAACCATGGTTCGAATCCTGGAATGGGCGGTTTGCTTTCTCACTCTCCCTCTTTCCTTCACTCACTCTATCTCTCTCTCTGTCTCCCTTTCTCTTCCCTTGCTCTCTCTCATCAAATTGAATAATAATAATAAATAAATAAATAAAATTAAATAAATAATTATCTAAAAAAAAAAGGACACAATTTAAGGAGCAGTCAGGGGCTCAGAAATGAAGCATGGCAAAAGTTAACTATTATTTAATATAGTTAAGTACTGTGCAAAGGATAAGAGAAAGGTATGCTGGGAACACGTGACTACACAGAGAATCTCTGAACCTCCCAGGCAGAGCCTCAGCCATCTGCTGGATTAGCCAGTTCTGCTCTGTTTAGTATAATTCTTCCTGCTTTGGCTGCTAAGATGTTCTCACAGGGGTGGATTAGATGAAAACATAGAGGAAAGAGCTGGGGAGTCACAAAGGCTCAGGATGCAATCCCGGCTGTGCAACTGATGACCTGTTTGCTCTAGAGATGGTACTTAACCCCCAGCACCTTCATCTGTAAAGCAACAGGAAGAAGTGGGAGGTGTGTGGCCCTGGAGCCTCATACAATAGATCCCTGACTAGGCCCTTACTCTAGTTTTCTCATCCATAAAACAAAAAACATTGACAATACACGGCCCTGGGGCCAGCCAGTGACATGGTGGTTAAGGCAGCTGAACCCCACATGGCCAACTGTTTGAGTCCTGAACCTGGGAGCTTGGCAAACATGCTGGGCACATTGTATGCATGCCCAAAATCCCAAAAGGAGAACGGAGGGAAAGGGATTATGGCATGGCCATCCCCTCTGGAGGATGGGGCGGGGGGATGGTTTCTCACTTTCTTTGTCTCTCTCTCTCTAGGAAGCACATGTAGCCTACAACAACAACAACAACAAAGAATATAAACCACCAGAAAAGCAAAAAAGAAAAAGAAAAACAAGAGGGCCAGACCACAGTGCGGTGGTTAAGACAGCTGGATCCCACATGGTTGATTTCATAGTCTGAGTCCCAGACTGAGTATCTCGAGAAAACCACTAGGTAAATGTGTATATATGCCAAAAATTCTGAAAAAAGGTGAGAAATGGAAAGCACCTACCCTCTGGTAAATTAGGGGTAAAAAAGGAAAGAAAGAAAGGAAGGAAGAAAGTAAAGAAAAGAATATATGGGTTGTTCTGAGGAGCAGAGGACTCAGGATTTTTACATGGCATGGAATGATAGCACGATGGGATGATGATGGTGATTACTGGCATGGGGACACCACCACTCACTCTCATTAAGGACCAAATGAAATAACTGATGTATCTAGAAGGACTTTAAAAACTGAAAGACCAGGGACCAGCAGTTGACATAATGGCTATGTCACTGGATTTCCATGTAGTCAACCATCATTAAAGTCCCAGATCTGATAGCTTAAACTCACGCCAGGTGCGTATGCGTGTGTGCCCAAGATCCCGAGAGGAGAATGGAGGAGAAGGGATTGCGGTGTGGCTATCCCCACCAAGGGGTGATTTCTTTCTTTCTGTCTGTCTCTCTCTCTGTCTTTCTGGTGAGCACATACGCCCCCTAGAGCAAAAAACAAACAAACAAAAAAAGAAAAAACCTCTCCAAAACAAAACAAAACTAAAAGACCATACAGACACATGGGATTATTAAATTGGGAAGCAATTTAATACAAGGAGGAGTGGTGGTTCACGATGTCATAAATCCCTTCAAAAACTCAGTCACCTCACAAAGCATGAGCCTAGAAATAAATTCAAAGTATTCTGCTCTTATGGAAGAACAGACACCCCAGGGTGGATGGATGGCAAACCAATGCTCACCTTCACGTCCCTGGAGTCCAGGCAGTCTATGAGGAGGGACACAAATGGATCCAACATTTCCAGGACATGTTCACTTGAAGACTTGATCTTAGAAGTCTTCAGACTTAGATGAAGCAGCTAAAAGATTTAAAAATGATAGTTCACATTAGTTGTCCATAAGACTAGATGAGCTAGGTAAATGTGGAATGATTTTAACAGACAAACATGAAATGTTAAGATGCTTCTAGTACGATGTCCAGGGCCAGTGAGCAGTACTAAAGTTCAGCAGAGGATGGAGACAGACTCATGGAGTGCAGCAAGTGTCCTGCAAATGTTAACTCATTAGTTGCCCATAAGACTAGATGAGTTAGGTAAATGTGGAATTTTTAACAGAAAAACATGAAATGTTAAGATGCTTCTAGTACGATATGTCCAGGGCCAGTGAGCAGTACTGAAGTTCAGCAGAGGATGGAGACAGACTCATGGAGTGCAGCAAGTGTCCTGCAAATGTTAACTCTTACCTGAAGTCCAGATTCAATAAATATGTGCATGTTGGTTTTCCTGCTCACAACAGCTTTCTGTCCACCACGGACCGGAGTTGGGGGGAGCAGAAGGCAGCTCTGGGGTGGCAGGCGTGGATCCGGGGCTGGGGCTGCTGGGTTTCTGTCAGTCACAGTGCAATGGAAACAATGGAAACTGTCAGCGCATCCTAAGAAGCTGTTGTGGCCCTCACAGTGATCAAAGTCCAGCACGAACCAGGTGCCCCTTGTGCTATTGTTTTTCCCCCTCCTTACCCACAAGATGCAGAAGAGATTGTTAGGTTGTTGGCCAAGGTTAGCAGAACAACCTCCAGACAGTGAGGTAAGACTGGTACATACACGTTTAAGTTAAAAGGAATAGCAAGAGGATTTTTCGCTTTGCTTGATTTCTGAAAGCAAATGCCAAGGACTCTCTCTTTAGACCACAGGAGCAAAACCCAAAGAACTTTAAAATTTTATGAGGCCTACACCTGTCTAATCAGAATAAGATATATATATATATATGTGTGTGTGTGTGTGTGTGTATGTGTGCATATATATATATAAAATCGCATTCTTCTGATTTAGTCAATATTCTTCACAAAATGCTATCAGAGAAATGCCAATAACTGGCTGCTCCCATAGTTACCTCATTCATAAGGAAAACAATCTCATGTGGAAAACGTACCACATCATGAAGTATCACCATCTTATAACTCAAATGAATCTAAATTTCTTTTTTTTTAACTAAAGCAAATTATTAAATTAACCCACTTAAGAGTAAATAAGTAATAAATGACTTATCAGAAATAACCACCAAAAGGATAGTTTCAGGTTCTTTTTTTCTTCACACTTACTTTTCCTTCTCTGTTAACAGGGGAAGATTTTCACTGACCAAACCGTAACTGAGCAATAGAATGGATTCCGCTGTCATTTCCTCATTTACAATTAATCCTGCAATGATTCGGCGTAAAGTTTCATGAACTTTCCGGGCCAGTTTTAAACTTGTGGTGTTTTGTAAGATCTAAAGGCAAACATAAATGTTATGGTGAGAGAACACAGAAATGCTTCCATTTTGATTTGTCACAGTGGTAGTTTCCTTTTATATATAGCTGCTTTCAAATACATGTTTGTGTTCTCTAATTTAAAAAAAAAAAAAAAAGCATTCTTGGGCCAGCCTATGGCATGGTTGTTTAGGTGGCTAGATCTAATGTAGTGGACCTCACAGTTCAAGTTCTGGACCCAGTAGCTTGAAAAACACACCAGGTGCATGTGCATGTGTGTGAAAAATCCAGAAAGGAAAAAAAAACAAAGGAGAGGGGACTATGGAATGCACATTCTGCATGGAGAATGATGCCCTTCACCCCATCTCTCTCTCACTGGAGAGTACATGTGACCTCTCGTAAATTTTCTTTTTAAGAACTTTCTGCCTGAGGTAGCGTGTACTCACCAGGGGAAGAAAGGGGGAGAGGGAGAGGGAGAAGGAGAAGGAAAGGGAGAGGGAGAGAGAGAGGGAGAAGGAGAAAGACAGGGAGAGGGGGAGAGAGAGGGAGAGGGAGAGAGAGAGTGTGGGAGGGAAAGTGAGAAAACACCCCCCTCCACCCTGTGAGGATGGCCATACTGTAATCCCTTCTCCTCCATTCTCCTCCCAGGATCTTGGACACGCATGATTTTTCAAGCCACCAAGTCCAGGACTTGAACCGTGTTCAGCCATGTGGGAGTCCAACAACATATTCGCTATGCCATCTGCTGGTCCCAACTTCTAGCAAAATTAAAAAAAAAAAATCATTCTTAATAAATTTTATACATCGATACAACATATAAAGTAACCTCTACTACAGAGATAACTCCTGTAAGTAGTTAGTGTTCCCCTGTATTTCTTCCACCCCCTCGCTGCTGTTTTTGTTTTCTTCTCTGCTTTATTCATGATAAAGAATATCTATATGAGACAGAGAGAGGCATGGACAAGCATTCTCCCCTGGGCCTGGTCATGCCAGTCTTTCTTTCTTCAGTCCTCTAGCCCATTAGCCCATTGGATCTTAGACACTTGTGCATGTGACCAGCATGGTTCGGACTGACTGGGTGGGGAATCAAACCACAGCTACCGTGTGGGATCTTGTTTCTCTTGAGCAATGCATTAGCCCCTCCCTGCTCTCAGTGCCCGCGGCTCAGGGCACATCACCGTACAACGTGACACTTCTAAGATGTCAACCGTCCAAGTGTATTTTTTTTTTTTTTGGAGAGGTTTTTGCTATAGGGCGCATGTGCTCGCCAGACAGACATAGAGAGACAGAGAGACAGAAAGCGAGAAATCACCCCCCAGGGGGGATGGTCACGCCGCAATCCCTTCTCCTCCATTCTCCTCTCGGGATCTTGGGCACGCACGCACACGTGCCCGGTGTGAGTTTAAGTCACCGGGTCTGGGACTAGACCCGCAGTCGACTACGTGGGAGTCCAGTGACATAGCCATTACGCTAACTGCTGGTCCCGTCCAAGTGTATTAAAGGAGGTGATTTATAGGCAAACACACACATAGGAAATCAGCAGAATGTGTCGTCACTAAGGAAACCATGCAATGAAATTTCTGTGCTATGGCCAAGATTCAGTTTGGTATCAGTTACTGGGCCAAACTGGAGGGGCTTCATGGGAACTCGGGATCATCATCCTTAGCACAATACACAACACTCTATACACAGCTGCTATCCTGCATACAATATAGTATTAATGGATTCCACTACCCGGAGGGAGTTCATAATATGCATTTAAGACATATGTGTTCTGTTGACTCTTTCTCATCCTCAAAACATCTGATGTTTTTAGATCGGGCTCAGACAGAACTAGATACATTTGAGGAACAATTATGAAGTTCATCTAGCACCAAAACACTTGGAATTAAAATAATTTATGCCATTAAATGGTACTTTTGTTCTCGTTTTAGCACATAAAACTACAATACCATGAATGTAACTCATGTCATTAAATGGTACTTTTGTTCTAGTTTTAGCACATAAAACTACAATACCATGAATACCATTGATCAAATATTTGTGCCTTCAAAGGCACAGAAAACAGAAAGGTAGTTCATTATAATCCCTGTTCTCTGGAAGGCAGAATGAAACAGGAGAAATAACGTGCATTCTGGACCAGGAAATAAACGTTCATCTGTAACGCCTCCCCACAAGCCTGAATTTTCTTATATGCAGAAGTACCACAATCCTTTAGGGAGGTTGTGGAGATTAAAGAGGTAATGAACGCAGCCGTGCTCAGAAAACAGCCCGTGACTTGTCAGTTCTCCTCCTCTTGGCAACCTGGGAGCAGAGTCTGACTCCAAAGCAGAGCCTTAGCCACGGACTTGTCCCAGCTGTGAAATGCAGCTGCACTCCGGTTCTTGCTGCCTTTCCTCGCACACCTCATGCTTTACCTTAGAGAAAATCACTCTACAATTAGAGCACCCAGTCAGGGCTGCCACCTAGTGGCCATGCGGTGCTGGTATTCTCAGACCCCATGGGAACGGTGCGTGATCAGGTACAGTGTTTATACGCCAGGCTCCTTTCAGGAACTGTTAACACTGTTAACACTGGGATCTCCTGCCAGTCCTTACCTCTTTCAATGGAAGGATGAGTTTTGTAACCTGATCTTTTCCTACAAACTTGCCCAAGATTTCGTAAGATTCGTAACTCTTGCTTCTCCGCGCCTCCATGACTTTGGAGAGGATCTGCTTTACTTCCTTCTCTTCGGCAATGGCACCAAACAACTCGTGGTTAAAAATCTTTGAGAGAAAAAAGACAGATGGCAATTATGTGCACTCAGCAAGATTGTTCACATAAATCTTTGGGAAAATAAAAAAGCACAAGTATATCCAACTCGAAGGAAAGTTGGATTGGACTGAAATGAGATGGTAGGAGTTTCAGTTAGATTTCACTTATTTTCAATGCAGTTATAGGATTAACCACTAAAAAAAAAATAAACACATACAGAAACATTTAAATGTTAGATTTCACTTGTTTTCAATGCAGTTATAGGATCAACCACTAAAAAAAATAAACACATACAGAAACATTTAAAGGTTGACACTAATGGGAAATAAAAATTTCACAGACATTTATCTAATTGCTATTCAAGTCTATATAGCTATAACTATAGATGGGTGCTTCCATTTGGATATTACCAAACATCGGCGTAATGTCCCTTCAAGAAACTGCCATATTTGCAACTTAATTATCAAAAATTAATGTAAATGAAAATATTGGAATTGAGATTCAAAATGTTAGTGTCTAGTTTTTTGTTGTAGTTTGTATTTTTAAATATTGCTACAGGGTAGGTGTGTTCCATGAGGAAAGAGGGAGAGGGAAAGCCCCCCAGGGAGAAGGCTACACTGCAGTCCCTTCTCCATTCTGCTCTTGGGATTTAGCGCACAAGTGCACATGCACCTGGTGTGTTTTTCAAGCTGCTAGGTCTGGGACTCAAACCACACAGTTGGTCTTGTGGTTTCCGGGCACCATAACTACCACACCTCTGGCTGGCCCAGTGTCCAGCGTCTTTAAA